AAAAGATAGACACGTTGGTGGCGGGTTCAGGGAAATACTTCTTTTTGTTTTTGAAAACTACACTATATTCTTCTCTCAAATCTTTCATCACCTTTCAAATTCTTTCAATTCACCTTTCACTACCTACCCACCAACCACTACGCCTAAGGCTTAGGCAGGGGACCCCTGCAAAGATAGCTTTGTTGTCTCCCTCCAGCAATCAGAGGGGATGCATGTTGCCCCCCGCTCCAACCATGGTGGTCAAGGATGGGGTGGGGCCGCCGGTGGGTGTGGACGATTAAAAGGGAGGCGCAGCTACTGGCAAAATGCTCGGTTCAGGGAAATATTGGGTTTCTTCCAATTCTGGAGACACACATGCAAATTGGGAAATTTTAGATTTTAGGGCATATAGTAGGCTAAGTAGGGCTTTACGGATTCCAGTTCGGAAGGGAATAAGACAGTGTTAGAGAATTTTAGAGTGTTTTGTTAGGGATTCCAGGGGTTCTGAGCATTCGCAGGACTTCTGTGGCTTTCCTTTTTGACTTAGTATCAAGTTAGTAATTGCTGCTTGAGTAGCCTAGCAATAGGTCAGCAGTTATCCATGTTTTTTCTAAATTTTCCTGAACTCCTTTAATTGTTCTTAGCTGAAGCCAGGTAATGGCCCTCGTATTTCAAATGACTTGTATAAATCTGGAAGGGACGCTGGGCTCGGTTCCCAGCACGTGTTGCTCCCCACGAATAGACTGGAGCATTTGTCACAAAAAAAAAGAAAAAAAAGGAGGGCTTTTTAACTTATATGTGGACATGATTCTGGTCTGGTGCATCCAGGCTTGACCGTGAAAGAGGACACATACATAGACGGAGGTACGGGCATCTCCCGAGTGCAAGAGGTTTGTGCGTGATTTATTTACTTGTTTTTTCTTACGTCTGTTTCCAGTACGTCGTGCGTGATTTATTTACTTGTTTTTTCTTAGGTCTGTTTCCAGTACGTCTGACATTTTTTTATTTTTTTTTCAATCTTAACATCTTAGTGGCGTGAACGTACCAGTGGGGACACACATTCGGTCCGTCCAAGTTGGGGATCTGAACGGCGGTGGTGATTTCGAGGTGTTGAGTCCCAAATCTTTATGTGTCCTCCAATCACATTTCTAGAAACGGTTTGAAATTATCTGTCCAAATAACCCATAACCCATTGGCTGGAGGTGACACATACCGTCCGTTGAAGTTGGGCAGATACGAACGACATCCACTTCGAGGGGCAGTGGACTTCTGACCAAGCAATATAGGCAAAAATCAAGGCACTCATCCGGACAATGATCATAGTCGACTGGACAAGAAAGGCTGCACAGGGAAAAGCTCCACGTGGGCTTGGCTGGTTCTTGGTCACTTGGGCCAGGGATAATCAACTGGGAGCAGTCACCCTTGAATGAAAGCTAGTCCTCTCTCCTTGGATTAAACATTGACAGCTTTCCCTCTCCTTCTTCCCCCCGCCCCTCCTCGCTCTCCTCCCTCCCCCCTTTTCCCCTTCCCTCCCCCCCTTCACCCTCCTTCCCCTCTCT